GAACGGCTAGTCGCAAAAATCGAGTAAGAATACAGAAAAATTTTTGGTCTTTCGATTAAATCGGGTAGGAATGTAGATCAATTTTTGCATTCCTACCCTACTCTATCTGCAAAAAATATATTTAATTTTTTTATATTTTTTTTAGTAAGTATAAGAGTATTTGTATGATATAATTTATATTATAATATTGTCATTGTTGTAGATGTCTGAGTTGCAAAAACATACACTTGTTTTTTCGCAGGTTACATGATTTGTGGTGAATTAGTTATCTATTGGAGTAGTTATGATTTTAATGTGTTTCATATAGTTTAAATTTAAAATAATTGTTATTGTATTTATGTAACAATTATGATGGATTGACGTTCCTTCTTTCTTATGTTTTATTGTAATTGTTGTTGTAGTTGTTTTATGTTTTAGTGTTATTGATTTATTGTGTTGTTAATTTGGTGTATGTTATTTAATTGAATTGTTAAAATGATCCAAAAATTAATAACTACACAAGTATTTACTCGACTTCCTACCCTAGGTAGGAAGTCGCGTAGGAATACCACATCTGATCGGGTAGGACAGACAAAGAAAAAATTATTTTACAAAGTATCGAATAGAAAAATAAAAAATTATATTTTCTATCTATAGGAAAATGTGAACACCCCTACATTATTGTTCCATACTATTTTCTACGTGGGTGAATCGGCGTGAACCTAAGCAAAGTTATCAACATTAAGCCCATATGAAAAAAAATCCAAGGGTTTTGAATAGTCAGTACTCTCACTTTAGACCGATTTGCTTTTGCAAAGGATATATGCTTTTTAATTAATCATTGGAATTTTCAATGGTCAGCCCTGCATTAAAGCTGAATGTTTTTTACTATGATTTGATGTCTGTCAAAAACATGATTCTTTTAAAGATCTGTCCACGTTACTCAAAATTGGTACGATACTTCTATTATCTAGAGAATATTGGTTTTTTGAGTATCACACAATTATTTGTAAAAAATCTCATTATTTTGGGGTCAAAATTAAAATTTCACTATATATTTTAAATAATAAAAAATAAATTTAATCCAATTAAATTATTGTAATTATGGAATTTCGAACTTAACATTGAACAAAAAAATTTGAATTCATAAAAAATTAATTTTTTATTGTTGTTATTACAACACTTGATTTAACTAATTAAGCCAAAAAAAATAATGTGCTATCGGATCAATTAGTTTGGAAAATAATAAGAGGAAGAATATGGTACCCAATAACATAATGTATGAAAATTTATAATATTAATAATTCATGACGTACGTTACGCAATTGAACATTTAATCGACACGTGGTTTATCAAAAGGGGATCATTGAAAGTTTCAATACATGCAAAATTTAGTTTAATGCACGGTTGAATTGAAACTAATGGTATAATTTGTCAATAATAATAATAATAATAAACCCAACAAAGAGAGATGGTCCCACATTTGAAAAACAAATAAAAGGAATGTGATTGACTGTTTGTACTAATATGGAATGAGACATCATACACACATGAATTCGTTGAACCTTAAGATTTTTTTGGGCAAGTCTTGTCCAAATGTCTTAATCCATAACCCGCCACGTTGTCCCAATTGAGATATAGATGAAATTTGATCCGTTCAATTCGAGATAGAGACAAAGTGCAATTCATAACACTCCAGATGGCATAATCTTTGTCAATTCATAACGCTCCAGACGACACAATTTACTTATATATTAGTTATATATAATTTATATTCAATATAAATTTTATATGACCAAAATTTTTATGCATGAATTAATAATCAAATTAGGAATGAGTGAAATATTTTTTAATATTAACCCTCTTCGCTCAATATAATTGATAGACCTAATCACAACTGCAAACAAATAGTTATCGTACCATAAATAATAATTTTATGGGTTAAGTTCTAATTTTTTTCAAATCAAATTTAAGTGAAAAATATTATGATCAATTCTAAAAATATTTGAATAATTAATCTTTAAAAATTATATTTTAGGATATTGTACTAACAAAGACTTGAGAGAATTATATTCAGAGTTATCACTTAATCACTGACATCTCTTGATATTTAAAATATTATATACAGACTTTCTGAAGTTTGTACGTGTATCACAATTAGATCCTTTACCGTTGGTATGTCTATTAGTAAATTACACTCAAATCCTCTGAAATTTGTAGTTGTATAATAGTTAGACCCCTCAAATTTAAAATATTATACGTAAATAAAAAATACTCTAATCAAATATAAAATTTAAAATATTTGATATTCTATCTTTAATTGAAGTATTTTTTTATCTAAGTATAACATTTTAAACTTGAGAGTCTAATGCTCCGTTTGGTAGGAAGGATAGAAAGTAGGAGAGATACATTTTCTATCATTCAAAGATGAAAAGTAAGAATTATACATTTTACTGCCTTTGTGTTTAATTGGATGGATGAAAAATAAAAATAACTATTTTTTTTAATTTTTTTTTTGTCCTAGCTAAGATTAAGGGTGACAATCGAGTCGAGTCGTGTCGTGTCAAATTCGTGTTAAGTCATTACGAATTTGTACGAATATTAGTCAAATCTAACTTAACTCATTTAACTAATTGTGTCGTGTCGAGTTGCGAATTGACTTGTTTATTTTCTTATCAAGTTCAAGTCGTGTCATCGTGTAGATTTTAAAATTTTCACCCTTAGTTAAGATGGAAAAAATATTTTTTTTAATCTAAATTTTTTTTAAATTTTTTAAAATATATATACATATTTTACTATTGTATTTTTATATGAAATTAATATATACATAAGATATATAGACAAATAAAATACATATCAACACAAATAATTAACTTTTCATCCGATTTTGGAGGGATTGATTTTGGTGAGTTAGAAGGAAAGTTAATCTATCAACTTTTTTATCCTTCCTACTTTCTTTATTTACCAAACATGATATTTTTTTTATCCTTTAAACTTTCTATCCTCCCACTTTTTTATTATTTCAAACGGAGCATAAGTATTATGTGTATACAAATCTCAAAGAATTTGTATATAATAATTTAAATACAAGAAAATCTAAATAATTAAATAACTCAAGGTGTCGGAGCGTAATTATCTCAAAAATTTTTTGATATCGTTGACATGTCCTAAAGTCATATCACAAGAATCCTGAGGAGAGAATATCTGGGTATTTGACTATTTGTGCCGCTAAAACCTTTGATTGTTTGATTGTCGAACAAAACTACGATGTCTCTAATTTTTATAATTTTTGTGAATTTTAATAAGATTTTTGCAATTTGTTTTATAATAAAAAAAAATTAAAATATTTTAATTCAAGTTATAGCTTTTAAGGTTTGAATTACAATTTTTTTTATTCAAGGTATAATTTTTGTAATAACTTACAATCACAAATTATTATCACAAGAATTATAAAATGATCTTCAAAAATTATAAAAAAAAATTGACAAAATTTATAATAACGGTACGATACCAACACAAGCTGAACATTGATTCAACTAGTATAAGAAACGAGTTACAGAAATTCATTAGTAACTGTAATTCATTTCGTAATTTGAATGAGCCCAAGATAACCAAAACATAGTCCAACTTTTAAGATGTTTAGATTATTTATAACTATTCTAGTCGAATTTGTACTCTATTGTGTTTGTGTCGCGTAAAGTCATGTACATTAAGTTGATATTATGTTCATATAGGTTTGAGCTAACCTATTTAATATACGAGTTTCAATATAATTTAAATTCAGTGACATTAGATCTATATTTAATAATTTCATATCAATTTTATGTTTAGGTTAATGATAGTATTAGAGCATGTCAAATGTTACACGCCAAATTTGAATTTGAAGGCTTATGTGACAATTCGACATATATCATTTAACATATTCACCTTACACTTCATCTGATATATGAAAATAATTTTTAACAATACTTATTCAATAAATATTGAATTTGGTATGAGAGATGAGAGATACGTCAAATTTGGCAGTATGTCACTAGTTTACCCGATCAATATTTAGTGTAGCCGTCGGAGGAGGAGAGATTGTCAAAGAGGGGATGTTGAAATTATCCAATTGAGATTTGGCAATCCGGTTGAAGTTACTCTTATGTTACAAAATATTTGATAGCTCCTCATTTTTTTTGCTTATCAAAAAAGGGTAGCAACGAGATAATCGATATAAAAACCCTATTTGCACGTGACCATAACAGTTTGAACTCAAGAAATAGTCCTACAGGAGCTCCCTAAAACCAATTAGAATCATTGCTTGATCACAATCGCACCAAGTCACTGATAGTAAATCACCGATCTACGTTGCAAATTAAACATGATGATTATGATTATTACTAAAATGATACTTATGAGATGTTATCTATATCACTAGACGACCGAGCTCCATAGTCTCATATTTTTATTCAACACAATACCTCATTAGGGATTGTACTTGAAATTTTGTCAGCAATGAATGCAACCAAAGACCGTGTGGACAAAGCCGACGTCAAAAACGAAAGGCAACGCCGGCGACGTGGAATGTAAATAGTAGTCGTAGGTTTTATATTCTGCCGACAAAACTTTACTAACTGCCCTCTTACTTTTTGATTTTGATCTTTCAATCGCCCTCTTTTGGAAACTGACCTTTTCAAACCTGCCCCCCCCCCCCCCCCTCGCTCTCAAGCCGCGTCTCCCTCTCTCTAAAACTTACTTCATATAACACTTTCTTTCCCGCCTTTACCACAAGCCTCCCAACCACCATTTCCATTCTCTCCCCCATAATCAAACTTCCATTTATGTGCTTTCTTCTCAGTTATTTTCTACAGTAATCTTATTTTACTCTCTCTCTCTCTCCGTGTAATCTGAGTTTAATTATTGTATCATCTATTGACGTTGGGAAGAAAGCCGTTATAGCGTATCTAGCGAGTTATTTCTTCGCCGGAGTCGAACGGAGAGGTTTGTCGAAGTCGATGGAGTAGCTTTTTACTAGAACAATGATTTCGAAGAAAATCTTCGCTCTTCTTCTGTTTGAATTTGTGGTTTTGAATTGCTACACTGAGTTTAGATCTGTCGCTCAACTTTTGCCTGAAGAAGAAGGTACGTACGGTCCAAACCTCAGTCACTATTGCTCATATTTTCGGTACCTTATTTTTATATTCAATTAGTACTCATTGAACGTTTATCTATGTTCGTATTAATTAATAACAGATTAATTAACGTTTCACAGTAGTCAAGATTCTTCTTGCAACTTGGGTTTTCCTTTAATTATGGAGATTGTAGTTTGTATTTGTTGTTAAATATGTTATTGGTTCTCCTTTATATGGTTTGCAAATTAACACCCAAAACAAAAAATAAATAAAAAAATATCATTTTGCCTTAATTGATGAAATTTGTGGCAGAATATGGGCCGTAAACTCATAATGTTTTAAATTTAAATTTTGACATTTTTTTTGAGTCAGTTCTTGATAGATTTATCTCTCATGGTTATAATCTTAACATGAATGACTTGTCTTTCATTGAATTAGAAAAAAAATTAATCAAGATACGTGTAAGTTGATGTAAACACCCCTGATCATCAACCAAAAAAATCTTATTAGCATGACCAGTTTTCGATTGTTTGCCGGTAGTTATATATTTTTTCTAAAGACACCCATTAATCATATATTCATTGGAGGCAAGAACTAATGTCGATGATGTTACTCAAAATTGTCTAGAGGATTTTAAAATTTTCGGTTAATTTTCTTTTAATTTTTTTGGGTTCTTTCTCGAATTTTTGCTTTAATCTCTGAATTTATTGCATAGCAATCCAAATCCTTTCATTTTCAGTCATCTTAATCTGCCACTATAATTATGAAAATGTTATATAATTCAAATGAAACTGAAATACATATCATTTTTGAGTCTGGGATGAATGGATCCCATTAAAAAAAATTGATAAGACTCATCATGTAAGAGATTATATGTAATTAAGTTATAAATTTATTTAAATTTTATAGCATTGCTCCAATTATTGTTGTTGAGCTGGAAGGATATTAATATCCGTGACATCATGCCGTGGAATGATTGACTACCATCTACTGCCTTTCACATGCCACAATGATTGAATATTTTACAACTAATTGAGATGTGGTTGACTGGAAAATGTTATTTGACATTATTTATTAATTTTATTTGTTGACATAATATATGGTATCCATTAAATTAATAATAAATCTCAATTAATAATAAAATTTAACATCAATCTAATAACCGAGAAAAATTAAATTAACAAATTAGCTTTAAATAATATTACTCATTTTTTACAACATAACATGCGTGTAAGGTTAGACCAAATAAATGTGTTAGGGTCAACCAGTTTGACTATTCTATTCACAAGTTATTCATTTTTTTATATATATACTTTTGAAATAATGCTACATGGACTTAAAAACTAAACTTAAAAATTAGACTTGATAATCTCAACCATTGATTTCACTGTGGATCCCTGCATTTATTGGGACCTACTACCTATTCAATGGTTGAGATTATCAAGTCTAATTTTTAAGTCTATTTTTTAAGTCTATGTAGCATTAGTCATACTTTTGGGTTAAATGTTACGTAACTTTGATTCAAAACACGAAGAAAAAGCGTGGTCATGTGTGTTCTTTTGTCATCTACGTTTTGCTTCAAGAAGTTGCGATTGATTACCACCGATTGATTGATTCAGTGGGTATTTAGATTTTTTGGCTTAATAATTGAGTTCGAGTTTTCATAATTGTGACAGTTTGGTGAAATTAAAATTATTTTTCGGCGATCAAAACATTCGTTTCGGTCCCGACGTAAGTGTTGTGGGATTTCTTGCAGGTGGTTATTATAGAGGTATTGAGGGACAACGTCGTGACCGATTCGCATATCAATTTTTTGAAATAAAAAGGAAGTTGGCTCATATTTGTGATATTAAATTATCATCATGAAATTGGCCATAAAAAAAATAATTATGATAATGGTTTGAATATTTTCAAAAAATAGAAGAGCATAACCTGAGTCAACGATATAATTATTGAATAAGTTGTGAGTTTCAGTTTAGGTGGAGTCTATTTTTAATTCAATTGTTATATTTGATTAGATTTGTCTAGCATTTTCTAAAATAGAAATAAATGTTTCTTAGAGATTCAAATTCATGCACCCAAAAAAAAATTTGATGAGATGGTTATTCCTTGTTTTCTTAACTGTTTGTTCCTTGTTATTTATTAATGCTAAGAGTAGGTTTTGTATTTTAATTATCCAAAAGTACACTTTTTCTATTTTAACTATTCATTTTTTTAATACATACTCTAACGGAAATATTATTTCTCATACGTTGTACCTTTGTTGGGACCATTAAATGGAGGTAGAAAAAGTAGAGGGAAAGATAAAGAGCGAACAAGAAAGGTGAGAAATGATAAAAGGAGAGAGAATATAATATGAAATATTTATACATAATGTTACAGTGATACTCAAAATACAGAGCATCAATGTAGCAAAAATATATTTTAGAACATCTTCCGGTGGAGCATGATTTTTCTCCATGAATAATTAAATTTTAATTATTTTAGAGTTTTAGCTATTTTCTTGGAGCTGCTCTAACAAATTTTCACATGTCTTCCCTGTCACAGTACGAGCTCTTGAAACGATATCCTCAAAGCTACAGAATAGATATTGGAATGTAAGCCGAAGTTCTTGCAGCTCGGGTGGTTTGAATGGGACCATTGCCGGCGGTTTTATTAGCAATGTTACTTGCGATTGCACATTTAGCGACAATTCTGTTTGCCATGTTACAAGAATGTATGTCCTCATTTTCCTATTCACCTTTTCCTATTTTGGACGCATACAACATACAACCCCCAAGGAGTAATTAGTAGAGACACAAAAATGAGCTGTAATTTAAATCTCTTATGAATTCTCTATATCTGGTGAGGATGACTTGCCTATTACTAGACCGAGGAGGAGATTAGTTGTGCGTAAATTGACACGAACTCCTCTTACCACAATTTGATTTTCTATATATTTATTTATTTTCTAGGGTTAACTTTTGTTTCTTTGCAGCCTGCTAAAGGAATTTAATTTGACCGGAGTTCTGCCAGAAGAATTCTCAAATCTTAGTTATCTGCTAGAATTGTAAGTGACATCTTTATGACTTCAAGATTGAGAATTCAATTGAATAGCTGTTACTCCTTGTTTCCATTTATTCAATTACTTATTTTTTGATTCTACTCAATAAGAGTCTACTTGCTTACTTTGACAAATAAAGGGCATTTTGGAGTTTGTTTGATGGTTCTTCTGATGTTGTCATTTTATTGTTTTAGTTCCTTTCTTATTAAGTTGCATTTATCTGAAGATCTTTAAGAAAAATGATTCAATCATGATGGGAACTCAAAATCGGAATTTCAATGAAAAATAAACAACCTGGTTGATGTGAAGTATATTTTGAAAAAACACACTTTTGTGTTTAATCACCAATGGAAATCGAAGATTAAGTCAGGCTTCTTTTATTGGCACAGAGATCTTAGCCGCAACTATATTAGTGGATCAATACCCGCGACTTTTGGTCGGCTTAATCTCACCACTCTGTAAGTTTATCTTCTTTTATTTCTTGGAAATGCAAGGGACTTTATGACTTGGATATACTTAAGGTGTTGTCTTACTCCAGGTCCCTTCTAGGAAACCGCATCAGCGGTTCGATTCCCCGGAAATAGGTGATATTGCTACACTTGAGGAGCTGTAAGTAAAGTGATATAGGTATTTATTGAAGCAATGCATGAAACATATCATTTTCATATGTAAGTTGTATCATCCAGGATTTTGGAAGACAATCAGCTTGGAGGAACTCTTCATCAAAACCTGGGAAGTTTGAGACGCTTGAGAAGACTGTAAGATTACTGCTTCTCTTTTGTATTTTAACTAATCCTTCTTGTTTTGACTTGAGATAAATGTGAGTAAAAGGGATACAAATTAAGTGTACAGCCTCATATATATAGCCAATGAAAGTTACAATAAGGATAAAAAGGTAAAAATAAAAAACTTAATAAGTCTTAATAAATTAGGCTGCTACTATATCTCCAACACTCTCCCTCAAGCTAGGCGCAAAAATGTCAACTAAGTCAAACTTAACAACAGAATCCCGAAGAATGGATAGAGTGACAGGTTTGGTAAAAATATTTGCAACCTGATCACTAGTCCTCACAAACGATGGAGTGACAATACCACTGTTAACCTTCTCTCAAAAAAAGTGAACATCGATTTTTATCTGCTTCGTTCTCTCGTGTAATACAGAGTCAGAAGCAAGCTGAATAGCAGATCGATTATCACAATATAATGTAGATGAAGAAGTCACTAAAAATCCCAACTCAGACAAGAATCAATTCTAGCTAGATAATCTCACATGTGTCAAGTGTCAGTGCCCGATACTTTGCCTTTGCTAACGAGCGAGAGACAACTGACTGCTTTTTGCTCTTTAAGGAGATAAGATAAGTCCCTCGAAAAGCACAGAAACCTGTAGTAGATCGACCGTCACATGTTCCCCCATAATCTAAATCTGAATAACAAGGTAGAGAATCAGTTTGAGATGCTAATACATAGAACAACCCAAATCCAAGATAAGACTTGAGGTACCGAAGAATATGATAACTGAAACAAAATGAGGCGGATATGGTCTGTGCATAAACCGACTAACTCGGCTGACAGCGAATGAAATGTCTAGCCTAGTGTTGGCTAGGTAGATAAGTCTATCTACCAACTTTTGATAGATAGACGGATCTCTCAACTCCTCACCTTCAGCAGTAAGCTTCAGGTTTGGAATCATAGGTGATGATGCTGGTTTGCACCTCAACATCCCAGTGTCTGAGAGAAGATCCAGAATATGCTTTTTCTGAGACTGATTCTTAATAAATAAAAAACTTAATAAGTCTTAATAAATTAGGCTGCTACTATATCTCCAACACTCTCCCTCAAGCTAGGCGCAAAAATGTCAACTAAGTCAAGCTTGACAACAGAATCCCGAAGAATGGATAGAGTGACATATTTGGTAAAAATATTTGCAACCTGATCACTAGTCCTCACAAACGATGGAGTGACAATACCACTGTTAACCTTCTCCCAAAAAAAGTGAACATCGATTTTTTATATGTTTCGTTCTCTCGTGTAATACAGAGTCAGAAGCAAGCTGAATACTCTCCTTCACCACGAAAGTCCGGTGGTAACTGAAACAAGATGAGGCGGATATGGTCTGTGCATAAACCGACTAAC